TGTGTGTGTGTGTGTGTGTGTGTTGTGTGTGTGTGTGTGTGTGTGTGTGTGTGTGTGTGTGTGTGTACATGTGTGTCTGATGCTGCGGCGCATGCTGTTGCGGTGTGGCTTTGTATGTTCCAGCTGTTCGCGCGAACCTCTGCGTGTATGCCCGCATGTCAAGAGACGCTGACGACTGCATCACGCCTCGTGTTTTGTTGCTCGAGCAGGCCGTGAACCAGATTATCGTGTGGGATAAGATCATGCGCCGGGACATTGACGATCCAAGGATCTCGTTGCGCGACATGAAGCTCAAGTACCCTTTCTACGATGACGCACACGGCCTCAGGTTCGAGCACTGCTCGGCAGTTGTTGTGGTTTGCATGAGAAGCGTTGTCGCTTGTGCAGAGTAGTGGCGGTGCACGCGCGCATTTCGCGTTGTCTCTGCAGCCTCACTGTGCTCCCGCTTGCTGTCACTTCTCAGGGGAAACAACATCACGCTCTCCTTGCACTGGAACGTGGTCCCTGTTGCGGGCCTGCTTCCTCGCAACTCAGAGGGCCATGTGACCATCAAGCTGGATGATCAGTACGCGTGATGATGTCGCGTGTATGTGTTGGCGTGTCTGTATCTGTCTGTCTGTGTGTGTGTGTGTGTGTGTGTGTGCGTGGTGTGTGTGCCTGTGTGTGTCTGTCTATCTCTGTGTGTATCTGTGTGTGTGTGTGTGTGTGTGCTGTTGGTCCTCCCTCCACTTAGGGCAACCTCCTTTTGCCATTCCCATCCTTGATTTTACTGCAGTTGTCCTGGTGGTGTTGTAAACGCATTGTCATGTTCACCTCTTTCATGAGCAAGTGCATGTATGTGTCGTGTCGTGTCATGTGGCTGTTGCTGTGTGCATGAGTGCGAGCATGGTTGCAGTCAGGTGGTCAGTGGCAGCTGTGGGCGATGATGGTGGTGGTGGCGCTGTGGCGTTGCCTGGTGGATGATCCGGTGTAGCATGCGCGCGACCAGCGGCCACGCGCGGTGATGCGACGCAATCCACTCCTCCACCACATGCAGCCGTCGGTGCTCTGAGGCAGACAGCACAGCGGTGGTATCGTGTGGGGGTGAGAATATTGTCATGCGACAAGAGGACACGTGTGTGTCTGTGTCTTGTGGTTTGCGTCTGTCTGCGTTTTGTCTGCTTTAATTGTGTGTGTGTGTGTGCGTTTATCTGTTTTGGCTGTGTGTGTGGCGCCCTGTGACATGCTGCTTGTGATGCTGCGTACCTTTGATGTGTACACCCATCTTCATTAGCGTTCCAAGCCGCGTCTGCCACGGCATCGAGTGCACGCAAGCTTCTCCTGCGAGTCGTGCGTGTGTGTGTGTGTGTGTGTGTGTGTGTGTGTGTGTGTGTGTGTGTGTGTGTGTGTGTGTGTGTGTGTGTGTCGTGTGTGTGTGTGTGTGTGTGTGTGTGTGTGTGTGTGTGTGTGTGTGTGTGTGTGTGTGTGTGTGTGTGTGTGTGTGTGTGTGTGTGTGTAAAGGGCGCATGTTTGCGTGTCGGGAGTAGTTGTTACATCTGGCCGCACCTCACCCTCCGCTTCCTCCTCAGACAACACGCACACGTGCGCGCTGGTGGCGGGTGGTGTGACTCACGTGGGTCGTCGAGCTGCTGCAGCATCTGCTGGATACGCGTGTCGATCCCAAAGTCTGCAGCAGCGCCGCCCTCCTGTGGAAGAAGCTTCATCACGTGCCCTGCGGCAATTCGACAACATCGTGGCAGCCGAGTTAGTAGAGTAGTGAAGTAGCGCTACTGGCTCTGGTGTAGTCTTGGCAGCTGCGTGCTGCTACTGGGTGCTTGGCATTGCAGCTGCAGCTGCATCGTCAACCCGTTGTTCAAACAATGCTGCCCTCTCTCACACGTGCGCTCTCTTAATGCTGCGGTCACGCCCTTACCGAATGTGTCGCTGAGCGCATCCTGTGTTGAACGCGGTATGCCCGCGTTGCCGTCGCCCAGTGTACCTGCGATGTTCATCAGCACTCTTGCCACATTCACCAGCTGTTCTCTCGCTGCACCTTGCACGAGAGTGCTCTCTGTGTGTGGAGGTTGCATAGTGCCGCCAGCCCAACATTATTCTCAGGGTGAGATGCAGCTCACGTGCAGTGGGTAGTGACGTCGTGTTGAGTTGGTGCAGGGGAGCACCACCGATGACGCACGCATGTCGGGCCAGGGGCGATGGAGAGGCTGGTACACACCTGGAATTGCCTTGAGGATGGTTTGTGTTTGCTTGAGCAGGTCGTGGCCTGGATCGACCACAGCTGCCACTGCGATTGATGGGGTTGTGTTTGTGGTGGATTCTGGCGACCCTGTGTCCAGTGCACCAAGTTGCTCGTTGATACGGCGCAACAGCATCGCCAGCTTATCTGTGTGGATTGCGCGTGCGCGCGTGTGTGGCGAGAGTTAGAGGGCGGTGACCATAGTTGAGGCGCTGTTCTGCTGTTGTCGGTGGTGTGTATCGATCGCAGTGGAGTTGTTAGCGGTGACACCAGTCATCATCTCTGACCTGTTGCCATGTCCTGCAAGGACAATGTCTTTGCCTGAACCTGGGCTGCCACTGAGGGATGAATAGCGTAGACAAGCGAGTGTTCGCAGATAGCGATCGAGTTAAGATGGGTTAAGCCAGGGTTAGCAACAGCTGAGAGAAGGTGAGAATCATTGCACGCCTGCCCATGGCTCCATGGTGCCGGGCGGGCAGTCACATCTTCGCATCGATGCATGAGTACAGACGTTTGCCACAGTTAGGTTACAGGCAGAGAGATTGCACTACCTGCGCGAAGCACAGCATTGTTCATGCTTGCGGCGCACGACGAGGATGCTGCTTCCTGGGCACTGTCCAGCTCCGATGTTGTGGCCGTTGTGACCCCCGACACCAGCTCCCATGCCCCGGAAGCCGCCAGACGAATCCTGGCAAGTGCTGTTCAGTGGCAGAGGGTATTGGTACAAGCGGGGACAGTAGGCTAGGGGCACGTGGAGTTGAGCGCCGCCCGAGCATCGCTTGCTTGGAGCATCTTGCATGCACGTACACGCACTCACGCATGATGTTTTTCTTCTAACCTTGGCGAGCCTCGACACCAAACCGGATAGCGAGTGTCGTGCAGGTCTGCCTGATGTCAGAAGCGTTGGCAGACGCTGGTGCGAGGGAAGTGGATGCGGCAGCATTGCTTGGGGGTGCGGCTGGGACACTCTTCTCTTGTGACTTTCCTACAAAGCGACAGACCAGCATCGCCTATCGCAACACGTGCGTCGCGGTCGTGAATGCATGTGTGTGCGCGCAAGTGCATGTGCGTATGTGTGTGCATGTGGTTGCGTGTGGGTTGGTGTTGGTGAATGAAGAGGTTCACACGACGATTGTAAAAGATAGACAAATCGCTTCAGTGGGCTGTGATATACCCGTTGCAGCATCGCACTCGCTCTTCTCAGACACGTTTACGACACTGACCAGGAGCAGCTGTATGCGACGTGGTGGTACGACTCCCGTGTGACTATCCTTTGTCTGCTGTTGTACCTGCTGGAAGAACATGTCCCCGCCCCGGACGAGCCCTGTTGCTGCAGCAAACTCCCGGAGGGAAACG